TTCTTAAGATGTCTAATTTTCATAAGCTCTTTCTGAATAAACAAACAAGTGATTCGAACAGGTAGCTCTTCCAGATGCAACAAATTAAAGAATATATCAAAGAAAAGCATTCAGATTTTGTTAAGAAAGGGGCATAGGGAAGGGCGATATGTTCTTGATGGATCAGACGAAAAATGTTTTCAATACACGACTGATCGACTTAGTCTTTAATTCTTTAAAAATCTCATTTCGCGGGAATATGACAAGAAGCAGCAACAGTCCTTCGCGGAAAAAAATAGAATATTGAACAGGATGCAATTATGAATTTGCCTGAAATATCATAAATAAATATATTACTCAATAATTTTAATGTAAAAATAAAACATCTTATTCTCGTTTAATGCACCGAACTAACTTTTGGTTAAATATATATATATATATATATATATATATATATATATATATATATATATATATATATATATATATATATATATATATATAGAGAGAGAGAGAGAGAGAGAGAGAGAGAGAGAGATGAACAGACAGATGCATACGTACATACGAGGAGACTGAGAGATAGATAGATAGATAGATAGATAGATAGATAGATAGATATGAACAGTCAGTGATAGATAGATCGAAAGAAAGAAAGACATGAAGATAGATAGATAGATAGATAGATAGATAGATAGATAGATAGATAGATATGAACAGTCAGTGATAGATCGAAAGAAAGAAAGACATGAAGATAGATAGATAGATAGATAGATATGAACAGTCAGTGATAGATAGATCGAAAGAAAGAAAGACATGAAGATAGATAGATAGATAGATAGATAGATAGATAGATAGATAGATAGATAGATAGATATGAACAAACTGAGATTGATAAATGTATACGTACATACATTTGAACAGATGCAGTTTTGAAAATGACATTATTAAGTAACTTTATTATTAAGATGTCTATTTAAAAAAAAAAAATAAACTCCATACCTACGTCTCGTCTTTGAGTCTTATCTACGTCCCACGCATGTTCACTGACTGGTTGTTGTTCTGTATTTTCGCGAAATGACTTGCGGTCAAATCTGTTCGCAGGATTCCAAACACGTTTCTGCCACCAAGGAAACAGAGGATACTGCATTTTCCGAAACCCCTGCCTTTGCTCTTGTATCGGCCACGGAGCAGGTCCGCTCCAATCAATCTGGGGAAACAGACCTTCATTTGAAAATATGTTGACTGGTTGTAGAAATGGGGTGTTGGAAGTACCACGAGGTATTACTTCTATTTGTTGGACACTTTTATTATCGATACGTTTAAAATTTGATCCGTTTCTACCAACTTTTGTGTTTGACTGTCTGCGGTTTACAGTTGGCGTGATTCCAGCAATTTCTTTTTCGATTTTACTCGCTTCCAGATTCGCTCTAATTCCTCTCGGTTTAGGATTTGGTCTGACAAAACCAAACTCTGGATTCGGTGTGATTTCTTCTGGTCCCGGAAACCAATTGGCTCCACTAAAATCAAACTTCGGATTTATTAGCACTGATTCTGATTTTGGATGGATTCCAGTAATTTCTGATTTTGAATTAGATGGGAAAATATTCCATAACCTTCTTTGTGCTGACTTCATTCCATTGGTTCGAAGATTTGAATTCGTATGTATTATCTTTGGTTCTGGAAACGGTCTAAATTTTCCTGGTTCCGGATTTGGTATTTGCATTTCAGCAAAAGGAATTCTCTGGTTATCAGTCAAACCGGAAACACGTTCCCAGATATTTCTGACATTTTGATTCGATCTAGCGATGTTGAGAGGTCGGTGAAAATGATCGTCTACTACAATATGTCGTCTTCTAATGGTGACAGCTCGGAAATGTTTCCCATCAGGACTGGTTGTAACTTCCGATCTTTTTAGATTTGGATTCTGTAGAAATGTTGCCCTTCGTCGCTGACGTGTAGATGAAGAAATTGAATTGTTTGAGCGAATAGATCCAGAATAAAGGGACCTCTTGTTTTTAACTGCATTTTGACTTGGGGAAAAGCTTTCTCCTGTCGTATCCGGCGAAGGAACGCTGTAATTTTCTGATAGCAAAACACTTAATGGTTTTTCCATAGAATTGGTGGAAATTAAATTTCTAGGTTTATCTAAACTTAATTCTTTGACAGGTTTGTATTCTTTCGGGTGGTAATGAATGATACCAATGACGAAAGACGCTTTTATAAGAATGCAGACAATAAAAGGCGTGGCGATAGCCATCATGGAATTGTGTATATGTGTATAGTGTCTTTTTTAACCTGAAATATAAAATAAGAACGGAACTATTTTGGAATATTGAGAGATTATATTAAATTCATTGAAATATCAAATAATTATGACCCTTATTGCCAAAATAAATTGACAAAATATACAAAACTCATATCACATATAATTATATCTATCAGTATATTAAATAAATCAAAAAGAGTTCAATGGACTTATATGATTGACCAACTCAAGAGTTTCGCGACAGGACACTTGTCA